GTTTCCCTCGCTCCTCACTCCTCACTCCTCACTCCTCTCGCTCCCTCTTGTTCTCGCTGTCGCTCTCCGTGCCCCAACCTTTGACCTCCCCTCAGGCAGAGCCTTCATCGCATTGGCATTTCCGCTGTCATTTTCTAATCGATAAATTTTGTATTTGCCTTCGGTAAATGCTTCTCGTTTAGAGCTGGCTTTTGTCAATGCCGTTGGCCGCTGGCAAAACTGTTTCGCCCACATTTCCCAGCCCGTTTTCCATCCACACCTTTTTACACATGTGGGCCCGGCAAAGATTTGCAAACAGTGAACAAAATATGGCTTATTCCTCCAAAGATTAATTTCTAAGATTTATACAAAATACATTTATGCAAAATGCAATACTACCTTGCGCTTGGAATGGTTTTTAAAACAAATCAAATTATTTATATTATAATTTGAGATGTTTAAGGTTTGAGGATTTTATAAGCAGCACATTTAGTTCTAAAAACTATTTAATATAGACAAATTCTGCGTTTCGACCTTAAAGAAGGCGAACTAACTACTTTCATTTATACTTTTTTAACAAAATAAATAAATTGAATTTAATTTTGTATAGTCTCATAGAATTAAGTAAAAGCTCTAGCTTTATAAAAATTATTATCATAGCTTCAAATTTAATAAAACATAAATTGCAAAAATGTCCTTTAGAGTATGGGAATTAAATACTTTATGGCATTCATTAAAAAATAGTTGAAATTTCGCTATTTGAACAAGTTGACAGTTTGTTTCACATTTTCACAATTTTAAATAAAAATACTCACTGTCGTACTTTTAGACACCCATTTTTATGTGTCACTACTATTATTCTGATAAACAAAAAGTCGCAATGTCAAAATGTCGCCAAGTAACAGCTAAGCTATGTACAATTTTTCGGTTAGCGATGACATTTTTGTGCACCGTGCAACTTGGCTGCATCACCGGGCATATCAATCAATCAATCAGAAGGCCGGGCTGAGTGGATGGCAAACTGAAACGAAATGAAACGAAACCGCCAAAGCCCCCATTATCACCCCTTTTTGGCCAAAGTGGAGATTAAACAGCCAAAAACCCCAACCCCCTTGATTTCTTGTGTGCATAAAACAATAATTTTTGCATTAACCAAGCGAAAGCGAAAACGAAACGAAACGTTTCGAAATGTTTATGGCACCACGGGGATCTCGGAACGCAGTTCCTGCAGCCTCAACTATGTCATCCTTCTATATAGAAGTTGTGGCACAGCAGTATGTATATAAATGTGGCACCAAAGAGAGAGAGAGAGAGATGGAGATGGAGATGGAAGGCCGTGAGAGTGGGACAGCAATAGGGGGCGGCCCCGAAGAGATTCTTGTCATTAGTTTGAATATTTTATTTATGTGTATTTTGAAACTAAGCTCACAGTTTCGGCTGCGAGTATTATATCACATGGCCTTTCAATGCAGTTTCCAGCTTAACCCATTAAATAATCGGCCTTTGACTTTGCAATTTTCTAGGCAGACAAGTATTTTGCTAACTTAATATGAATAGTATGTATATTGCATATGAGTGAGAGTGTGAAAGGAAGGATTTTGAATTGAATTTTAAGCTACAGAATATAAACCACCAGAATGTTGGTACTACAACTAAAGCTGAAAATTTGTTTAAGAAATAAATTAACTCTCCTTCTTATTAGTTCATTTTATTAATGGATGAATTCAGTAAGTTTGTTAAAAAGAAAAAGCTTAAAGTAAGACAAAGCTATTTGACTGCATCCATATGCTGCATAAGTTTAATCTCAGAAAACAAAATAAAGCTATGGGTTAATTTAGGCAGATAATAGGCTACATAATGCTAAAAGCAAAGAATCCAGTGGAAAATGTATTTTCCATTATTTAATTTATACTGCTGTCTTATTTTCCGCTCTTTCGCATTCGTTTCGTGCTAATGCAAAAAACCAATTTAATTTTGGCAAATTTCACATGACACTTGGCTCTATTACCTGTTTGTCCGAAAAACGCAGAAAATAGGAGGCTGGAAGTGCATTAGATGCGCATTATGCGGGCAGGACTTCACCTCCATTTTGCCACCCATTTTCCAGGCATTGTTTTATTGCTTTCAAATTAGCGCAGAACTCAATTAAAGGCAAAGGAAGTGGAGAAACTGGTGGTTCAGTTGTGTGGTTCAGTTGGGTGGTGTTTGGGTGGTGCGTTATATGTGGATGCGCTCCAACGCGCATTTTATACTCACTCCCATTTCCATCACCCACTCTCAATGCAGCTCTCGCATTTAATTTAGTTGATTCTAATTTAATAACGAGTTGAATGGGTTTTTGTGTACAGGCAACGCCCTCTTAACAGCCACGCCCACCTCATTTGTGGCCAGCCACATCATGTTCATATTAATGATCATACTGATGAGCACTGAAATTACAGCCACAAAATGCGAAAAGCAAAGGGAGAGTGTGGGTTGATGAGTTGAGGACTACCTATAAATAACTATAAATAAACTAAGCTTATATTTCTTAAGTCCACAGCTTACTGACTTACCAGATTCAAGTTCAAGTTCAGTAACGAAGCTAATTCTATTTAGATCAGGGTCACCAGGGTCACAGCAAAGAAAGCTCTAGTGATTTATAAGGAATTTTTAAGGCGTCTTAAAGTGGACAGCAAAAAAGTGTTAAGAAGTTTAATTAATATTATGAATATCAATTTTGTACAGCTTATTTTTGTATAGAAACTAAATTCAATTGAATTAAGTTACTTCGAATTTAAAACGACATACTAAGAAATTGTTTTAATTTTTATAAATGTTCTTAGGAAAAATTAACGTTTTAAAATAGGAATAAAGCATTTTAATAACTCTAATTTGGATGCAGTTGAATATAGGGCTTGGGTTAAAATGCGATAAATCAGTCAAATTTACAGAAATATGTTGACCCACAAATAAGTAACCTGCGGCCTTACAGTCTGGCCCATGTGAGCATGCTTGTAAGCCAGTGAACGAGGCGATTGCCCAGGGAGGCGATGGTTGCCTCGAACACCTCGGATGCCCTTTCTGTCGCCGTAATTGAATGGCCGATGGACTGGTCCACCCCCCCTCGACCCACACTCTGGCCATGACCTTGCCGGCTGGCCGAGGCCTATGCTGCCTACTCACACCCTCCCCTCTCGCCTTTTGCCGACGATTTACCCGTTTGCTGTATGAGTTAATGCGCTTACATGAACGTCAGCGTCAACGCAAGTGTTTGGCATTGCATTTTAAGCCTGTGCAGCCGGGCAACTGTCACCTAATGGCCACCGTCAAACGAACCACCGACCGACCGACCGACCGACCTACCGACCGACTGACAGACAGACAAACCACCGACTGAAGAAGATTAGGGCAATAGTAGCAGCAACAGCAACAGCAAGAGCAACACGAGGCGTATACGTGATGCGAGGGCGCATAAATCAATAAAACCCGACCCAGCATTGAGCTCTTTGGCACCTGAGCACCAAGCATTGTTAACTCAATTTCAACACGGAAGCAATTTCCACATACGGCTTAAAGCCTTTTTGGCCTAATAAATGCCACCTTGCCACTTGGGCCACAAAACTGCAGTTTGCAGTTTGCAGTTTGCAATTTGCAATTTGCAATTTAGCATCTTCTATTTACAATGAGATGAGACAGCCAATTCGTTGTTGATTACCGAAAGAGCAGCGCTAAAATCTGCCTTAATTTATTTAACTTTCCAGTTTAATTTGCAATTTTAAGCTGGCAAGGCATGCTTCTGCATTTGTAATTCGAAATGAAGTGCGGATGTGTAATGTGCATGCCCATGAATACACCGCTCTCCATTAAAATAATGGGCATAATTCAAATAAAGATAAAAACAAATATCAATTAGCAATGATGAAGAAAGCATTAATCTTATATGCATATGCACAATTTCAGCTGATTGGAAGCAATCTCTATGTCATAACATTTTCAGCGCAAGTAATTTATGAGCTATTTTTATTTTAAGTAATTAATGAGATATTATTTATTTTTATAACGCAGCAAGGCGATGTTATAAAATTCAATTAACTGTCTTAATGCATAGTAACGATTGAAGAGGAAATTAAATTGGGTTTGGATTTCATAAACATTTTGAATTATTAGGAACAATAATAATATTAAGTCGATATCCTTAATCTCATCAAATGGCTGAGATAGAATCTCCTGCATCCCTTCTAAATCGAAGTTAATTTATTAAGGCAGACATGAGGCATCCGAATTCCATTTGATAATAGATTGAACATGCCGAATACCACATGCGGCGCAAATGCCAGCTTTGTTTGCCTTTGCGAGTTGGTTTCGATACGATTCGATACGATTCGATTCGATTCGATTCGAATTGATGTGATGTGATTCACTCTCCTGTGCGTTTTTTGTTTGCTTTCCCAGCAATGTGCTTCAAGCCAAACAACAAAGTAGTAGAACCAACAGCGATGCAATTATGGCTGGTATTACGCAATACTTACATAAGTCTCAGGGCTCAGGGCACGCTAATTGATTTGCCAAGCGAGTGGGAGGTACGGGAAAAAAGAATGGGGGATGAAGGGAAAAACAAGGTGAATAGAGGGAAAAAAAGAAGGCAATCGAAGTGAGCCGGAAAAGCGGAAGTTGGAAATCGAAAGAGTGTCGCGGGGGACGAGCGAAAAGCAGCTAGAAATATATATACTATATATGTACATATAGGTTTAATTGCACATTTTAAGGGTCTTAATCGTACCCCGAGATTACCAGCTATATTGTCTACTAAAGATGACAAGCTATCAATAGCAGTAGGTTATTATCGATAGTTTGATTATGACTTATGGCTGAGAACAGCTTAGTAAAGCCCCATGTCCGATAGATATTTCTTTTAAATTCAAAGGTGCCTAACATTTTTGCAGGCAACAGGAAATTATAATGAACTGGCACTTTTGAAAGTAGTCCAAAACAATCGAAATAATCGATAACCAATTCGTTTGTTTTGCCACCTCTATTAGCCATGTATTTAAGTGAAATGCCGCGATAATTAAAATGAAAACGAAAGTGAAAATGAGCGAATGGCACAATCCGCGGCCACAGCAATCGATCCATGACAATCGGTCCAGTGACAAGCAGTCGTCCCCCAGTGAATCCGAGTGAGTGTGCGACCCCAAGTGAGTTTGGGATTGGGTTCGGGATCGGGGTCAGGACTGACCACCTGGTGGCATGGCCGCCGTCGCCGGCCTCTACGGCCTTGGTGAGGATCGGCAGCACCGCAAGAAGCAGCAGCAGCAGCAGCAGCACCAGAAGGAGCAGCTCGAGCAGAAGGAGGAGCAGAAGAAGATCGCCGAGCGGAAGCTCCAGCTGCGCGAGCAGCAGCTCCAGCGCAACTCCCTCGACGGCTACGGGTATGCCCACAAATTTTCCATTAATTTTTGAAGCACAATCACCTTACCATTAAAATACTTTACTTTTTACGATTTTACAATTTATAAACAAGTTACAATTGCTTCTACTTCTTATGAAAAATTGTATAAAAAGTTGTAAATTCTAAATTTTAAAAATTCTATATTTGAAATTGTTTGATTGAATTAATTCCATTTACAATTTGGCAAATAAAAAAGTTTCCCTTTTGAATCAAATCAGGCTTTATTTCTTGCCTTAAAAAATATACAATCAATAATTTATTCAAGATTGATATATTCCAAATTCAAAAATTCTAAAAACATTTACTTCCAAAATTTTGCAAATAAAATAGTTACCAAGAAATGGTTCTTGTTAGTTTCAACTATCGTAAAAAATCTTAAAATTAATTTATATATCTTTAAGTACGACAGAAAATATCCTTCACCGTACTCCAAAGCTATTTATGATGTAAGATTTAATTTTAACAATCTGAACATCTTCATAAAACTAAGTTTTATGTCTGAGAAATAAAGCATCTTACAAGCGATATGGATATTTATTGACAAGGGACTTTTTCCATATAAAAACTCTGAAGTATAAAGTTTCCAAACATTTTGAAATAGTTTTCAGAGCTTTGCAGGCAAAGCAGCATACTAGCATATTAGCATTTTATGAAAACCCCCCTTTAATCCGCCCTGGGAAAAGGTGCAAAACTGTTAGCCTGCGGCATTGCTGATGGCTTCATCAGAGCCGAATCTCCTTCCATGCGGATATCCAAATGCAAAATAAATAAATAAGGAGCGGCGGAGGCTGTATGCCACGAATGTAGCCTAAAGGACTCGTTTATCTGCGACCCACAGCTGGCACAGATCTCGGGGCACTTGGGTGCACCACCTGCACCACTCGAGGAACGCCCCCAAACTCCGCCACTCGAATTGTTTACCCAGTTCGCCCAGTTCGCATCTGGGGGCCAAAAAAAAAGAGGGCCCGGTAGTGAAGATATCTGTCCTAAAAGCGCAATAAACGTGACTAAAGTAAACTAAATCAAGAACGAAGCACACGGAGAACTTTGAGCTGAGCATTTCGTGTTGCACTTGACAGCGAGAAAGGAGAAGAAAAAAGTGGTAAATAAAAGCGGACTGAAACTTAGGCTTGTATATACACTGGGGGAAACGGGGACGTTTTAAAAAGATAAGCTAACATTAAAAGTGAGAAAAACGGCAAAGTAAAACGAAACATTAAAATGATTGAACTTTAAATCAACTAATAACATGGTAATGTAATTATTAACATATTTAATTGTTTTATCCCATAGGAAAATAATACATAGATTAAAATTTTTTATATATTTTAAATTAAAATATTTTCTTTTTTTTTTTTAAAGTGCAAAAATATGGATTTGTAATGAATATTTATTTTATTGGTGCAAGACAAATAAATATTAGCATGTTTCATAGCTAACACTATCTAAAATATTTGAATTTAGCAAAAAAATTCTCCACTCAATCGAATTAAATAAATAAATAAAGTAGAACAGTAACATATTAATTTGCTTCCGCGTAGAAAAGCTGTCTGAAAGAAATCATATGCATATTTAATTCCCTGAAAGCGGAAGTACAATTGTTCACATAATTTTTTTCAACATATCATTTGCATATTTAAAATCTCTTATGAATTAGAAATTATATTTTATTTATATTATTAAATTATGCTTGTATCCTGAATATTAAATAACATTTTGTCATAAAAAATAGTAATCACATCTTACTTATTTTGCTGTTTCGTATATCCAAGAATACAAATATAAATAAAACTATCGAATAAGTTGTGTTTAAAAGGAACGGAAAACAAGCGACCCATTGCAAATTTAATAACAAAAAGTTCAGCTGTAAATAAGTAATATGTTACTTGGCAATGTTTCTCGGTTAAACAAATATTTGGGAAGTCAAAGTTGGAATTGGTTTATATATTATATATAATTTTAAATTTAAATTGTATACTCCATGCATTATTTATATTTGCAGTTTTTCGATATTACAATTGCCATTTACAAGTTTGGGTGGATTCTCGTTCACAGATTTTGAAGCGTTATTTAAGTGGCTTTTCTTTGTATCTTTGCATCTGTGCAGTTGAAGACAACAAAAACCATTGAACAGTAAGCAATGGAAAATGGCCCAAAAATAATGGGAGAAAAACAGCCTGGCTGGGAAATAGAAAAATAAGACTAGGCAAAAAAAACAAAAAATAAAGTGAAAGCCAAAATGTTATTTTGTTCAAGTTGCAGGGCGCCAGGCAGGCAGCCTGTCAAGCTGGGAAAAACCCCATCCTTAGCCATGTATGTTCGGGGAAAAACCTGAGTGAGGGTGGGGAAAAACTCTCTTGCTGATTTTTCAGTGCGCATTTCTTTTTGTTTCCCCCTTTTTTTTCGGAGAAGTTTCTTATTGGACTTTTGTGTGCTTGCGCTTAAACTCGTATTTTATAGAATGATATTTTTGGCTGAATGCCAAAAGGCAGTTACCAGCTGAAGGGAGGGGGAAGCGAAATGGGGGGGGAATATCCTGCACACACATGTTATTGTGTATGTGTGACTGACTGTGACTTGTGTGTGTTTGTGCACTGAAAGCCTTTTGGTAATTACATTAAACATGCCCAAAATGCAGCAGCAATTTACACATTTCCCTCGGCCAGCCACGCCCCCTGTGACGCCTATACCCCCCTTGGCCTACCCCTTTTCAACAAATCCAACTCCATTTTCTCCAGTCTGTGTGTGTATGTGAGAGTGTGACGTCACACGCTGCAGCAGTTGCCAAAAATTGCAACTGAAAACTCTGGCGGCCATAAAAAAGGATAAAAGCGAAACACAGGGTACAATGTGGCTGATGCCTTTGGGTTAAGCACATATATATACACATATATATACAGATATATATATATATATATATCTATATACAACTAGATATATCTGTGTGTGTATGTGCCTCAAGGACATTTCCACTTGCATCTGCTTCAATTTTGTTGCATTAGTGTCAGAGTATCTCTCTCTCTCTCCTTCCCACACTCTCTTTTCGTTCTTTCCGTCCTTTTCTCCTTTGACTTTTTGTTTATTCCGGCAAAGTTGTCAGGCCTTTGGGGGCGGTGCTGAGGACATGGTCTGGGGGGCGTGGCAGTGCTGCCCAGACACAATGTCGCGTCAAACGAGCAAAAATGAAATTAAATTCATGTACCCCGCCTTGAAGTTCACATAATTGCCAGTTTTGTACTTACAAGATCGCTGGCAAACGAAGTGGTAACTAGGGCAATTTATTACCCTCTCTAATTCCTAATCATCTAATCATCTTAATTATAAAGTCTTAAATCATTTAAAGCTTATAGAAATTATAATAAATATTTCTCAATCACTAAATGTTAGCATACTAAAGGCTTTATTGCTACCTTTATTATTGAAAAAGGTTTTAAAGAGGTTTTATAAAAAATACTTACTTTAAAATTACTTAAAGAATTTTTTTTAAATAGCTCCTTGAAATAATAACAATTTAACTACTCAATAAGAGTTGTCAATTAGTAAAATGTTTTCGAATTTTCCCAGCATACCGAGCATTAACTTCCAAAGCATAACCAATTAAAACTTAAATTCTATTTAGCATTCAAAGTTTGGCTGGCGAAAAAGTTGGTCCTCTCAGTTTATTTGTTTTGCAGTGTGCAACTAATGACGTTGACAAATGCTTAGTGCAAGTGTCGCTCGTTCTGGCCAAAATCGGAGTCCAGTTGGGGCACAGTTGCAGTTGCAGTTGCTGATACGGATACGGATACAGCTTCAATTTCAGTTGCAGTTGCAGTTACAATTGCCAACTGCCTGCCAGCTGTCTGTCGGATTCGGAGAGCCGCAGACAAACTGACGACAGGCAAAGCGTCGCCAGTTTCGGCAATCAAAAGACCACCAACACCGCCCCCTTTAGGCCTTTTTGCCCGGCTTTTCCTCCGCCTTTCCATCGCTTTTCCTTTCCATCTCCATCCCCCTTACGGAGTCAGCAGGCCTCCAGCAACTGACCAGTGCTGCCAACTGAAGATTACCAAAAAAAGCTAAGACAGAAATATATTTTATGACCGAATTAGTATTCTTGCCCCCAAATTATCACTTATTTGGTAAAATAAATAAAATTACATTGAATTATTTTTCCTATAACATCTTATATATGTTAAATTAAATTATATTTATTAAGCTAAAATCATGAAACCCTCTTAAATAAGAATCACCTTTAAGGTGAAAGAATTCGCTGTGCTCCAAACGGAATTAAATTGAATACGAATGACTTATAATAGTACAAGAAATAATTTTTTGACATGCTTATTGACATGTTTGAAAATTGTAACCCAAATTTATTACGTATATTTTTTAACAAAACATATTACTTATATAAATTCATAACAAACGAAGATATTATCAGAAAGGATTCAGACTTTCATTTTATCGATAAATGCTAGTGATATAAAACGAGTTGGCAGCACTGTTTATCGTATCCTTTTTGCTAAGTTTGAAGTTTTTATACCTTAAGCTTTTGTGTTATTTTTGCAAAAGATATAGCTTTCACAAGTTTATGAAAAACGAAGATTTATTGGTAAATTACAAAGATTTTTAACTGTTCGACAAAAGCTAGTAATAGAAT